GCAGACATTTTGGATCATACATCTTATATACTCATCAGCGAATATCACAGAGCTCCAAAATTGGCGCACCAGAGCAAATACGGAGAGACCAGTACTGTCAATGAAGCCTCATAGTTCAGCTGGTAGAGAATACCGTGTGCAAAAGCGTAAATATTGTATATACATATATATGTATATCTGAGTTGAAATGTCAGAATCACAACACGAACACAGATTCATGTCCATTGTCGTTAATTTGTGGGAACGTATTTTTCCTCACCCATTGTCTCTGTAATGTACATATCTATTTGTTTCAAACCTTCACAATGTTGCACAAAACGAGCGCAGTGTTCAGGTGTATTTTGCAAGCAATTAGTACAACAGATTTTTTTGCTGATAGTAATACAAAAATTAGTCTTTGCTAATACAATGTGAACCTTGTAAAAAGAAACCCAGTTGTTTCGCATTCATCCAGGGAAAATCGAAGTTTTTGTGTTGTGCTCTGCTGCAATCATCATTCATTTTGATCGCAATATTGTACTCCGTTCGTCTCACTTTCACCCTAGTGTGTACACGATATCACTGATCACTGATGAAATATTTGGGCACTAATTGAAACCGAACTGTCCAAAAACTGGACAGTCTTGAGAAACGCTGCACAACTCTCACCGGTTCCGATTGCTCAAATGTATGTGTGTGCGTGTGTGGTTTGTAGTTAGCTCCACCGAGTGCGATGCAGACTCGCGATCCCAATTTTGTCCAATTACTCGTCCCATCCGACGTATAGAGCGGGCACGAGGTGAACGGTTCCGTGGCCGATCTGACTGACTGACGACCTAGGCGTAATTGGCATGCAAACAAGGTTTGTTCAATTGTGCGTACAGCGGAACTACTGAGTTATGTCTTGATAGTGGGGGGAAGGGGGAATGGTTGAGGACTGAATTAATCGTTCCGGGGGAGGAACGAAAGACAAAAGGAACACGACTGTTCCAGTTTCGAACCTCCATTCACAAGTTGTGAGCATGTTCTCAAGAGACTGAAACTTGTCTGTGATCACATCATTGTTATGCCTACTCGGCGTCTCTCCCGCCCATCGTGGTCGATTTCATCAATTCATTTGGCATCACTGTTGTCGTCCCCGTTGTTGTTCCGCGATTGAAGGAGCAAACTGGACTGTCACTTTACCCGAGCCAGTAATACTACAACCATCACCACCATCGCTGAATTAGGCTATGAACCACTAGTCCATGACCGAACAAACAATCCAGTTTCACCAATTCACAATTTGCCCAACCAATATTAATTTTATTCCAACTGCGCGTCTACTTCCGTTCGTCCTTTAGATAGCCATCCAGTTGTGCATGAACGACCACACAAACCCGCGTCAAAAGAAATTTGGTGAATTACCCCCTACTCACGTTTTGAGTCCGATGCACGCACATCCATTCTCACTGCAAGATAGAATCACAAACCATGTGATCAAGCACATGACTGTTAAGAAGCACCAGAAACAGAACAAAACAATTGTTCCATTTAGTCTTGGAAATCTTCCATTTATTTTACATCTACTCAAAGGCAAACAGTTGAAGTTAACTATGGGTTTCTTTGTCGTTTGACTTTTACCAATCGGACACATTTGTGCTTCCACAATATCACTTCAGATCCTGTAGCACCAAGAGATATGCATGCACCTCCATGTAATGTGTTCTTATAGTTAAACTCCGTATATTTCACCCTCAATATATGTAAGTGAAGAGAGCTAGTATAAATGAGGCATGAGTCAATGACTTTTGAGGTTTCTGTAAACGTTCCACTGGACGTGGCTTGGCGCGCGTGCCCGCGCGCGAGAAAGTACACACACACAACCTCGAGCAATTTAGTTGCACAAACAGATGCACAGGCTTAGTTGAATAGATATAGATCATGGGAAGAATACAATATGAGCCTCACAGTCACATGCAACAGTTCAGGGGAATGAACTAATAATAACAATAACTTCTTGGAGTAGCGACCCACACAAACACACACACATGTCTATTCTTATCGGTACGCCATTGACCTGAGCATCCGCTTATTTGTTTGCTTCTCTTAAATCCAACTACGAGACGGGAGACAAATGAGGATTTCTTGCTTGCATGCGATGCGAAAGCACATGTTGGTGTTTATGCAACTTGAAAACCATAATAAGAACACATGTATACGGATGCGCATGAATTGCTGTGCAAATTTGTATAATGAGATATTTTACGGGCATTACACGTCAGAGTAACAATCAGCACCGATTTATTGATCAGTTATGCTCATTGTTGTTGTTGTTGGTATTGTTGTTTGTTGTCCTTTAGGGGCGTTAATCCACAGAGCGGAAAGTAAATTAAGATGAATGTGGAGCGGTCCGAACAAGCAATGATTAATAGGTCTTTATTTCCTGTTCATTCTGTCCGGGAATGTAGAGGTGGAGAAAAACCAAAAGTGGGAATCTATAGAAAAATAGCACAATACGTTGAACTGAATGGTAAACTTTTTATTTTTCCCGTTGATTAGGTTTCCTCATTGCTTTAAGTGATGCTACTCTATTTCAAACGGTGGAAATTAATTATTCGGTAACTTCATTCCAATCCGCAACAGCAAAACTTGCATACACTGAGTGGTAATTCGTTTTGCTTAAATTTCATCAATTGCTTCGCACTAGCAAGCAAACTGAAGCATGAGGATTCGAAACGAAAGCACCTGTGTTACATAGTCCGTGGTTACCAGTTCATAACCTGAAATTATGTTTGTTCAATTTTGTTTAGTTCATGTCATTCCAAGTGTCAATCAGTGTCAATCATCAGAGCTCGCATAGCGGTGCTCCTCTGTCTCCTGAGATCAAGAATAGCAATTAGATTTTCTATTGGACCCTTTTTGTAGTCCATTACAGATGAGACAAGATGGAAATAAAACAACCTCCCACGGTCGAACGTGAGACTCATTTCAAAATGAGCAATTTTATACAATTTATTGCGGGTTTCAACTGTGGAAAAATCATTCTACTCGCATTTCGAGTAATTTCATATGAACTGATGTTTTCATTAGCTCTTCATCATGTCGTTACAATTTGTGTGAAGATAGAACCCTAGAAGTTGGAAGGATAAAATAAAAACATGCAGAATGAATCACTGTGTTTTGCACATCATATCATCAATTATATGTTTCCGGGATTATCAGTTATATCACATTGGTCATGTGACACAGTTCTGAGGGATCGCTGTCATGGCGTGAATATGTGTTTTCGTTAGAACAGGGGAGATAAACAACTTGGATTAAACGCTTCTAGGACTTTAGTTTTGAATTCGGGTGTTTGTAACGGTATGATTATGAATGGCCGAAATTGTGTTCTTGTTGCGGATTACTAAACTCATCTGGGATCTATGTGTATCCTCGGAGTTGATGTGCTAAAGAATAAACTATGTACTGCCGTAAAATTCCACTTTCTCGGAGTCAATAGGACTCACTTTCACACACTCACATAAGAGCGTATTGATGGCTTTCTCTTCATCCAATGATTAGTTCCTTCACTCCTTGTGGTAAGTGCCAGAACTCATGTGCTTTTAAGTTATCAACAGGTGATACAAAGCCAAGGTCGTGCACGAGCACAACAGAGACCATTGTGCTTCATAAGTGGGAGACGAAAAAAATGTGTACATGTTAGGAAGTTTTTAAAATTAACGATTTCCAGTTAGTGGATTGCAGACAGACGACTGATATTAGGACCATGACAGCACCCGTGCACATATGCGAAAAAGGGCACGCTCGGATGAATAATTGAAGTTACAGGTAAATGTCATTGTTGGTCCTCCTGACCCCGGGGACTTGGCCCTGTGTGTGGACGGCAGCAAAAATCGTCGAACGTTTCCGATTATTTGAACTGACTGTGTGGTAGTTGGCCTGTCGATACCAAACTTAATTCTGACTCATCCCCCTTTGACTGTTCACCCAGCCCCATCCATCGCGCGAACAAATCGAAACACTCCGTTTTTTCTCGTCCCGTTAAAGATAAGAGATTTCGATGCTCCAGACCAGACAGTTTACGCGATTCGATGGGCAAAACCTTTTGGGTTACATTTGTTACATGAAAAGAATCATTCGGTGTCCACTCGGAGAGAAATCAAACAGGAACATTTAAGAGAAATGAAATATTTCTGCACGTGCGCACTAGCACACACACACACACACACACTCCGAGCTTACCATTTTCCAATGCCACATGTCGCCTGGTAGGGACTACCCACATCGTGCTGACTCATGAGCTGAATGCGACTTTGATGGGAAGAGAAACCAGAAACTGTTCATCCTTTTTATTCATGAACGTATAGTTTGTTTGCCACTGGGGGATAGTAACGATGTACAGTTGAGATATCCTTCTTTTAAGTCGATAATACTAATTTAAAGGTATTCATCATCGATAATAACATATTATTAGTGCCTAAGTGAACATTATTTTTAATCGCGTTCAATGTTCTGGTAAATGAGATTTGAGAAAACTGCAGTAATCCCTTCTTTCTTTTGAGGAAAGATCGCCTCAAATCCAACTGAACTTATAATAAGGTAAATAAGAAGGGTCGTTGAGATCATTCTGCTTGTCCATGGTTAAACCTGTCCCGAATCATACAAACTAAATATGTTCTGTTCTAGTAAATATGTTCCACTTAAAGGAAAAGCCACTGAACTCAATAAAATGTGCACAGGTTTCAAAGAAAAATGACATTCGTTTGCAAACTGCTATTCACGGATAATTGTCCTTGAAAGTAATATGAGGCGTTAGGTTTCTCCAGATAACGTCCAGCATAGCCGCACGTCACTAGGTGGTAAATAAGGTCACTTGATTGAGTTGACGTGAATGGGAGGGTATTACTGTTCAGAATAAGCGGTCGAGGACTGTCGGTGACTATGCTTGAAGAAATGGAGGATCTTTGCCTGGAAATCATCTCTCCCGTGAAAGAGTAAACCACAATGGGATGTATAGCTCGTCGTGAGGTGAGAGAATGGATCGTACCAATAAATTGGAATGTCGCCACTACTCTGTTGCACTACTGATAGAAATTGGCTGTGATATGGCTCTGGGCTCTGGGTCTCAACGAAAAAGATCAAGTGATATCGAAGATATCATTTTGAAAATCAATAAAAAATTCATCTATCGAATCAAATTGTTCCTGTGTGGAAGAAAGTTGCCTAAAATGGTGGCCATCCAAGTGACTGGGCCTAGCCGATTGGCTCAGAAATGCAATGCATTGACCATTCGATTTTCGTCTGACAGCAAATGAGTCTCCAATAACATGCGATTCTTCAAAAACGATTTGCTTTAAAAAGAGCATTCACTAGGACACTTAAGATTTTGATCAAATTCACAAAAAGGCGCGTTCTCCAATCGCGAACTAAATGCGTTAAGAATCAACGAAAAAGCCTCGAGCACGTTTGGATTTATCAGCAGCTCACAATCCCACGGATTTTCTGAGACCCGTGGAAACCGGCGTTTACTCTCATCGATTTTCATATTTCAAAGTTGTAATGGTTACTTCACATGATCAAACCATATGTTCTCATGCCTACTTTTCCTACCTCCCTTGTGTTTCCTTTCGATAAAGGCGAACATGGTTCAACATGGTGACCATTGTATTTCAGTATAGAGCACTCAGAATAGTTCTATCATACACATGCCTTTATTCCCACAAACCGGAAAAATAACGTACAACCAAATAAGGTGTCCTGGTAAAACCATTCCATTGAAGAATTTAGAAAATCAAGCTCAGTTATTTGAGTTCACTAATGGCACAAATAGTAAACCAGAAAAAAATTGATTGAAAC